AAGTTGTAGTGGTCATGACAAGGATTACGGATATATAAAGAATATCGAAATCCGAGTTATAACGAAGAAGTTATGACCTGTCGAAGTTTCGCGACAAAACCGGCACGGTGCTGAATGACGTAAAAAGTGAGTTTTTGATAAACTACTTTTTAGCCTTGGTGATCTAAATGAAAGTCGTAGTGTTCGTTAAACTGAGAGTATGTATAAAAAGAACGCCCAAATCTGACTTCGTATGAGGAAGTTATGATTTTGTAAGTTTCAGCGTAGTAGTAGACAGCTAAAAACTCGAATTTTAGATCGATTGATTTTTAGCCGACACGACCTAAACGAGAATCGAAGGTCTCGTCAATACTAGTACAACGGTAAAAGACAGACGAAAACGGACGTCGGATGTAGAAGTTATGAATTTTTAACGGATTTCCTGTCCCGGTCTGTTAAAAATAATAATATAAAAATTAAAGTCAAAATTAGCTGACGAAGTCTAACCGAAAGTTGTAGAGCGTAATTTTACCCACGCGTGGATATAAAGAACGTCAAAAACGGAGCCCGTATGCGAACGTTATGGATTTTAGAAGATTGGGGCACAATTTTCGAGAATATTCGCATGGATAAGCTTCATCCGGACCAGCAACGTCACCCTCGCTCCGAGCTGGCCACGTATCTGAAGCAGCTGCGTCATCCGAGCCGTGGCGCGTCCGAGGAGCGACGCGAGTGGCACAGGTGTCCGAAGCCGATGACGCGTCCAAAGCGTTGGCACCTCGCATGTGCTCCATCTGTCTGAGCCACGTGCCTTCGCCTCCTGCTGCCTCGTGCCCTCGCTGCTGACTTACTCCTCTCGGCCGACCTTCAGACCTCCCCTATAAATACAAGGCTTGCGAGCCTTCCCGGGTAGTTTTGGAGATTTTTCCCTTTTCACCCTTTTTTCAATATTTTCACTATTTTGACATCCCCCGAAGCCCCGGTATCAATTATAGCACCCGAAACACGTCCCGAAGTTCCCGAGAAGCCCGAAAAATTTATCTTTTCAGTTTCGAAGCCTGACCCTCGCAGAGCCCGGTTTCTCAATAAAACTCCCGATTTTATTAGAAACGATCGTTTTAGGAAACGAAGTGCTGCCCGATTATCATTAAATCAAGTGAGTGTGTAGTTACTTTCACATAGATATGAAGTATTTTATATAAAATACGTGCTCTGTGAATATATATTGTTTGTTTATTTGAGAGGGATGTTGAAGGAATGATTTATACAGGTTTTTAAATAATTTAAACCGTATATGTACTTTTATCTACAAAAATGTTGGGTAAAACATGGGTAGATGAAATAGTGGGTGTGTGATGAAAGATGAGTTTGATAAATGAGATGATCAGTGATATAGATCATGAGTTGAGGGTGAGTGGTGAATTATGAGAGAATCACTTACCCAAACGTTGGCCCCCGTCATTCAGCAGAGTATGGATGACAACCACGGACTATTCTAGATGATCTGTGGAACACTAGCAGGCTCGCAACCTGTAAGTGTGTGAACTATATGTTCATCAGTTGTACTCTAAAAACCCATTGGCATGTATTGCAGGGGGGGATTCCCGTGAATAATACTGTCGATAAATAAGAGCTATGGACTTAGCACATGTTGTATAAACCCTGACAGTTATGGACTTAGTGCCTGTTGTATAAACCCCGACGACGATGTGACTTCGTGCCTATTCCTTAGGATGAATCCTTAGGAATGAGTGATAGTTGATTCTTAGGGTAAATCCTTAAGAAATAAATAAGATAATGGGGTTGGGGTAATTTGGTTGATTGATTGATGTTTAAGCATAATAAATTTATTTATTGTGGGTTGAAAACCCTATATGCTCACCAGGCTCCCAAGTCTGACTCACTCAGCTTTTTATATTACAGGTAGTGGACCCCGAGCATAGTCAGATGATGATGAGTGATTTTTGGATTATAGGCCAGTAGTTGTAAATAACTGTTGTAAGGCTTATAATGTCTTGTTTATGCTTTTGGTCTGTATCGGAACATAACATCCCGAGGTTTTGATATAAAATGAAAATATATATTTCTTAAAGAAAGGTTTTGATAAATTTTTATCATGTTTTGTTTCGGGAACAAATTCCGCAACATCTTTTAAAAGGATTACTCTGATTTTATTTTAAAAAGCATAAAATAAATCGGTCTTTTCTGGCCGAGAAATTTGGGGATGTCACATAACCTTTGTGTGATTGTAATTGTTCTTGGAAGTTAATAAAATCCGCTCTCTCTCTCTCTATCTATCTCTCTCTCTCTCTCTCTGTCTCTCTCTCTCTCGTGGATGTAGGTCATCTTGACCGAACCACGTTAAATATTGTGTTGACTTGATTTACATTTTCATAAGTTTTATTTCCGCAAGCTCACCAAAGTTTGTTTTGATATTTGTCTGAAGTGTTTAACTTGATTTGTTTTCACGCAACATGTATGTTGTAAAATGGTTAACCAACATATTTAACAATAAAAACATTTCAAAAATTCCAGCATGCTTATAATAATTACACAACACACTTACAATATAGATAGTATACTTTAAATAGCAACATACTTACACAAACTCGATAACCTTTTTAACACAAATTCCATAACATTTTCCTAAACATATTTACGCAAATTCCATATAAATATTTTACAAAAAATAATGACATAATTGCAACATAGTAGTATGTTAATTGTGATGTACTTACATTATAGATAGTCCACCCAAAATAGAAATATACTACACAAATTTGATAGCGATATTTTACACAAAATAGCAACATGGTTAAAATAATAACAAGATACTAATTTAATCTACTTGAAATATGTACGTATCTTACATAAATAACATATTAACTCATATAATATATATAACTTTACTTTAAATAACAACATACTAATTATATAAAGGCAAATTATTACATACCAAACTGTATTCCACCCTCTTGTCAAACCATCCACAACCTCCCATATATTGCATTTTTTTTTCCAACCACGATTGAACTTGGATTCTAATATCTTTGTTTTGCCTATTAAAAAAAGAAAAATAAATATTAGTAGAATTCAAAACTTTTAATGAATCTCTAAATAATACTAGCAATATTTGAGTTTTCTAATTACTTCTTGATTCTGTTTGTGTGGTATAGACAAACTATATTCATATAATTGTTTTAATTTATTTTGTGAATTTATTCTAGATTGGTGCATATGCTTAGGAGTCTAGATTATACTCATTGGTGATTTTCTACCAAACTTGTATATCAACAAGCAACTGAGGATGTCTCCTTGTTGTACTTGTATCAATATCCTTCAACCTTTGTTTCAGATGTCTCCTTGTTGTATCAACATCCTTCGAACCTTTGTTTCCTCTCTTTCATTTGACAAACAGAATACAGTATGATTATAGTAAAAAAAAAAAAAAAAAAAAAAAAAAAAAAAAAAAAAAACACTAAGATAATATTCTCCATCTGATCCAGACCAGCTAAACGAAGAAAAAAATAAAAATACTACAATGTTACATTATATATATATATATATATATATATATATATATTATTTTTTCAAGACAAAAAGAAGAATTCAGAGTACAGTACCAGAAAGGATTAGTATTAAAATAAAATAAAAAGATAAAATTACATAGTTGGTTATGTGGTTTGCAAAAACAGGTTGATTCACTACGATTAATATTTAAGCCATTATATGTTTAGTCCTCCTGGTTTTATTTCTTGTATGGTTGTTGCATGTAGTTTTTTTTACCTCCTTTTTTTATTTTTTTATTAACTTTTATTTACTTTTTTTATTTTAAATTAATGTGTTAATTATAAGAAAATGACCCACATTCCCTCCTTCCTGCCCACTTTCTCCGACAAAACCATTTCTCCGATGAACACCATTTGCATCACCACCAGACAAGAACACACATCACAAACTCCATTAATCTCTCTAAGCTCTCTCTTTGTTTATCTTGCTAAAAAATATACCAAACCACCATATCCAATTTAAAAGATCATGGAAATTAGATTGAAGCATGTAAGCTTCGTATTGGTGGAGGTAAAACATTGGTGAACCACCAAGAACCAAAAACTTAGATTGGAATCTCTGCTGTTGGTGGAGGTAAAACATCACCAGCCGAGAACACACCATCACAAACTCCATGAACATCACCTTTGAATTTTGATCTCTCTTTGTTAATTTATCTCCGATGCTACTTCTCCAAGAGTTAAAACCCTATAAAATAATCGTTTTAGGCTAAAAACTTATAAAAGAAAAGAATTGATTTTTGTTTATCTCGGCCGTTGATTCTAGAAGCTTGATTTAGGTTAAATGATTTGTTTTCGATTTAAAAGATTTGATTTATGGGGTTCAAAACCCATTAATATTTTCTGAAGAAAATATAAACCCATTGGAGAAAATCAAACCATAGGTACCAAACATGTATAAATTTGATAGTTGCTTTCACCATGTCTAGCAAACAAAATATATCAATCACGTAAGTTTGTCCAAAAAAATACAATAAACTTACAGTAAAATAATAAAATTAAAATAAAGTAAAACAATTTTTTCATTAAATGAGACCAAAAATTTATGACTTCATTATATATTTTCTTGGTCTATATCAACACATATTAATGTAAAGGTCTCTTTTTATATCTATTGTTATATTACTTCATAAATCAATTAATTTTCACCTCCATATTAAAATATAACTAACATTAAATTATTATAACAAATAAAAGAAAAAGCAAATAACTCAAACGTTGAAGTATTCCACGGCGGGAATACGATGGCTTTGCATGCATTATATTGTCTTCTAGTTTACATGTATATTATTTTATTTATTGTAGTTGGTAGATTCACTTCTAAAAAATTAATTAGTTTTTTTATTACTATAACTATTTTCAGTTTAATTAGAAAATAGAGATATTTCACCTATATAAAGGATTAGACGCTGTCTCAAATTCATAACTCAAATCCCACTTCTATTGGTAGAAATGGGAACAAAAAGGAAGATGTCTTCAATGGCCACCCTTCTAATATCTCTTGCGGTAGTTATTGTTTCTTTATGTTTGCCCTCATTGACCACCGCAGCCTACCCTTACTCATCGCCACCACCTCCTCCACCAAAGAAATCACCACCACCACCACATAAGCATCATTATGTTTACAAATCACCACCACCACCACCACCGGTCTATAAGTCACCACCACCACCGGTGTATAAATCACCACCACCACCTGTTAACAAGTCACCGCCACCTCCTACTCCGGTTTATAAGTCTCCACCACCTCCAAAGAAACCATATGTATACAAGTCACCACCACCACCACCTCCGGTTTACAAGTCTCCAACACCACCGGTTTACAAGTCACCACCACCCCCTGTTTATAAGTCACCACCGCCACCGGTACACAAATCACCGCCGCCACCTGTTTACAAGTCACCACCACCACCTGTTCACAAATCACCACCGCCACCTGTTTACAAGTCACCACCTCCACCACATTACGTCTACAAGTCACCACCACCACCGGTCTACAAGTCACCACCACCACCTGTGCATAAATCACCGCCACCATCGGTCTACAAGTCACCACCACCACCGGTGCACAAATCACCACCACCACCTGTTTACAAGTCACCACCACCACCTCATTACGTCTACAAGTCACCACCACCACCGGTCTACAAGTCACCACCACCACCGATGCATAAGTCACCGCCACCACCGGTCTACAAGTCACCACCACCACCAGTGCACAAATCACCACCTCCGCCTCATTATGTTCACAAGTCATCACCACCACCACCAGTGTATAAGTCACCACCACCACCAGTTCACAAGTCACCACCTCCACCCGTTTACAAGTCACCACCACATCCACTTAACAAGTCTCCACCACCACCGAAGAAACACTACATATATAAGTCACCACCACCACCTCCTCCAGTTTATAAGTCTCCACCCCCGCCGCCACCAAAGAAACCATACGTATACAAATCTCCACCACCACCAACCCATGTACACAAATCTCCACCACCACCAACCCCTATATACAAATCCCCACCACCTCCTCCAACCCCGGTGAAAAAGTACCCACCCCCACATTATATCTACAGTTCACCACCTCCTCCTCACCATTAAGGAGTGACCGTTGTCTTTAATTAAGGATAGTAACAAGTTAATATTCTCAAACATCAAGAAAAACAATAATCCAGCAGGACAAGAAGGGTTAAAAGTTGTACGGAAATGACTTGTACTTTGATTCATATTTTCAATAAACAGTTGCGCTTTTTTTTTCGATTTGGGTTTGATAATAAAGGTATCAATAAAAAAAAGTTGTTCTTTCACATCCTTCATTTTATTCATTTAAATTATTTTTGGTTTTGTGGTTGTTATTCTTTAACATGTAAGATATATCACATATTTAAGACAAATATAAAAATCACTTTAATGACACTAGTTATTTACACCACATCGAATAAAACCGATTCAAAAAGCTTATATAAAATAATTAAACATAATTATTGTTAAATAACTATAAATAAAATTGTTGATTTAGCAAACAACATTTCATTTTGTTAAATTTTCTAAGACGGTGGTAATTTTCGGTTAGCTTAAATAGATTTTTTCATTTTAGTGATTAACTTTATAACTTATTAGTATTTGGTTATACACAATGTAACTCACCAAAAATATATATTTATACGAATTTACCTAACGGTTTTTGAGATTATGTAAAATATACTTAAATTAAATAATATAGATTAACGTAAGATGAAAAGATGTTTGAAAATGAGGGTCCAATGTTGCGCTACGCAGCACATGCACAATAGTATTTAAGTCATCTTTTAAAAAACAACTGCAAAATGCTAAGTGTTGCCCGTGTACAGCGCAATGCAACCAGAAATAGTCAGAAATGGTTTTTTTAGAAAAACAAAAAGTCTGGTCCATGGAAAATAACTTATATATATTGTTTTGAAATTGCAAATATATATATATATCTATATATATATATATATATATATATATATATATAATATATATATATATATATATATATATATATATAAAGAGCCGATCGTAACCCGAAGCTACGTGAAGGCAAAAGGAAAGAATAACATAATTTTTAGATAAGAATCTATTCTATACTACAAAGGATGTCATTGAAACTTATGTTGTTAGAGATAAATTGTTATCTCAAACCAATTTGAAACTAATGTCATTTTACGTTCCTTAAATTAATGACAAATATTACAGTAGATATAAATCTCTAATAACTTTTTGTATTCCTATTTATAAATATTTTATTACTATAAAAATGATCAATCATTTTAGTAAACACACAAATCACATACAAAATTTATTTATAGAGAATTCAAAGGTAAAGAAGTAATAGATCAACAAGTTTGAAGGTTTTTAAAGTGTTAGATTCCAAAAAAAAAAAAAAAAAAAAAAAAAAAAAAAAAAAAAAAGTTGAATGTTGTAGGATGTTAGAAGAACTCAAAACGGATATCATAATCAATTGTTTGAAAGGATAGAATCTATATGATTTTATTTTCTTCTTTTCAATTTATATCCATATACTTTCTCAGTCTACTTTCTTTACATTTCAAGAAAATTTTATGATTGTATATTTAAAGCTAAAAGAAAAATGACCACGTTCCAGTTTAATTGTTATAATTTCTTGAATATGTATCCTCTTAGTTACAATTGTTTCATATGCTTGTTTGGTTGAGTTTCGTCGTTAAATATATAACTAATATAATTTAAAAAGTTAAATTATATTATAATGAATATATTAATAAAATATATATGAGTTAAAAAAAATATGACAACATAAAGGGATGTCAAATCTATAAATCTATTATAATAAATGTCAATTTTATTGTAACATATTCATTTTCAACTTCCATTACAACTCAAAAGTCTTTTTAACTACAACTAATTAATTAGTAACTACAACTCAAGTGTTTTGTAACTGATATATATATATTATATATATATATATATATATATATATATATATATATATATATATATATATATATATATATATATATATATATATATATATATATATATATATATAGGTCTAGGTTATTCTATTCTAATTAATTATTGTGTTATTGTATGAATGATTGTGGGCCAATCATTTTACTTATTTTAAGAAAGTGATTATTACATATTATTGAATTAAATATAATTGAAAAATACCATCTAATTTAACTAGAAGGGTATTTTAGTCAGTTAATATAGATTTAATAAAGGAAATTTGCATATTTTAAGGAAAATTGCATATTTTAAGGGAAAATAGATTCTATTAATTTTAAAAATCTGATTGTATGGATGATAATTCTCCTAATTCGGAAATTCTGACGGAATATGTTTATCAATATATAGAAAAATAAAATAAATTATTGAACCATACAAGAATACACATTCTGACATAATATATATTTTGATTTAATGAACTTCTTGAAGAATAACAAAATTTTGGATACAAGTTAAAAAAAATTTCATTACATTCTTAGAAAAGAAAAAAATTTATATACTATTATATGAGAATGTTACACTTATTAATAACAAAGAAATACAAATATATAAATCATTATACCAGAATATACTATTACATATATTTCTTTTTATTATATTGTATATTATTCTGTTAGAATAATCCATTCTTTTTGGAAGATTGGTGGTCATTGTTCATCTTCATCCCGTAGAATGTTCATCTTCAAGATTCTATTCTGACATAATCGGAATTCAAGATTCTATTTCAGTAGAATGTTGTAAGTCTCATATGTACCTTTCCCAGCCAAGAAAACAAGAACATTCTTGTTCTTGATTTCATGTATACCTGCAAATGAGAAATACAACCACTCATTGTTATTGCTTAATCTTCTTTCCATGGCAATTTCAAGCAATAAACACCACATCGAATTCTGTCAAGCAAAACAAACAATTTCCTGTAAAACATTAACCCCAAAAATCCATTCCATTTATCCATTTCTATCAAGAACAATCAAACCCAAAACAAAGGAAATTAATACGACTTATAATCAGCAATTCAGAAAATAATTTGTAGAAATCATCGCTCATTAAAAACAGAAAAAAAAATCAACTCAGTTAGAAACAACCTCAATACTATGCTGAGAAATCTTTGCCTCTGGATAATCAAAAATTAAGAAAACAAGAGAAGTTGTAATCAGAAAACGCATACATCATATAATCAAAAAAAGTTATATAAGCCCCAAAACCAATGAATTGATAGTGATTGAAGCTCGAGAATCACATCAAAACCAATGAATTGATAATGATTGAAGCTCGAGAATCAAATCAAAATCGGTGAGAGAGAGCGACAGTCGACAGAAGTGGAGATTTCAGAATGAGAATAGAGAAATTAGAAAAATCATTGAATCGATAATCAAGACTAATTAATCGTTTCAGAATGAAAAGAAGAAAGAAAAAAAAGAATCGAGAAGTTTTACCTGTTGTAGCCGATCCCACAACCAAATCCTTCTTCTTGCTTGACCTTTCGTGCCTTGTCTTCCTCCTTGGATCGACACCACAGCTTCTGCTCTTTTCTCCATATCACAATCTCCTCTTTCTTTCTCCGCTTAGGCAAATACACGCCACAAAAGGATTTAGGGCTAGGTTGGCCTGTTAAGGCCGACATTGCTGAATTGATTGGATTTTTTAGGGAGGATTGAGTTGAAAAGTACAGAGTAACCACGATGGTCCTAGGTCAGAGAAACAAAATCGAGAAGAAGGAAGATAGAAGGAAGGTGTTTGGGGCGGACGATGGTGGCGACGACTTTGTATCATCGGCTAGGGCTTGTAATCGGTGCAGATTGAGCGACTCTAGATATAAACCTGGAGAAATTAGGTTAAAAGTCAATACCATGATTATAGGGATTATTATTGGAAGTTACTAATCAAATTACTAAATTACCCTTATTTATTTATTTAATTATTTAATTTTTTATTTAATTTTGATTGGCCCACATTTATGCATACAATAACACAATAATTAGTTTAAACAAATAAACCTAGCTATATATATTTATATATATATATATATATATATATATATATATATATATATATATATGTGTGTGTGTGTGTGTGTGTGTGTGTGTGTGTGTGTGTGTGTGCGCGCGCACACACTTATGATTTAATATTTAAAATAATTAATCACTACAAGAGTTTTTTTTTTTAAATTATGGTTAGTAAGTGATATTTATTATATTTAATTGGTTAATATAAAGATATAAATAATTAGCATAGATGACATTGTTAGAGTTTGGTGCGTAAGATGGAGAAAAAAAAATATAATTTTAGAACACTCAAAGCTCTACATTATATTGAATGTATTCATATTGAATGAGGAACGAGAATATACAAATTTATATAAATAAAATATAAAATTTTGTTTAGTTTGTTTGAAGATAATATGATTTACAATAATAGATATTCACATATGACACTTATATATATATATATATATATATATATATATATATATATATATATATATATATATATATGAGTTGGCTCAAATGAGAACACTTAAAAGGTTGAGAACGCGAGAACAGATCACAACCATATAAATAGTTAGATCTAAGGCTATTATTAACCGGGCCATTTATGTAAATTATAAAATTGATGTGCTACATATGTAACTTTGAAATGGCAATAAGGGTATAACAGAAAATCTATATAATTTAAATAAATAGAAATTCCTATTATTTAGGTATAATAATCAGATTTTTTTCTCTCTATCTGCTTAACTACACAACCCTCATCTAAGTATTTTGAGAACACCGGCCGCACACCCCTATCTTCTTCAAAGTTCACATTATGCCATCGTCTCCATCTTCATCTTACCACTGATTGCCTTCATTGTCTTCCGGTCGCCTTCATCGTCGATGGCTTTACATAGCCATTCATAACCATCGCACCATCACCACACATCTTTCCTCCATCTTCTCATGTTTCTTTAAACCCTAATCAACTAAAAAACAGAGAATCATTCAAGCTCTCCACTGTGTAGGGTTCACAACCAGTAACAAACTGAAGATCTTCTTCTTCACCTAACCAAGGCCATCTAATCTGTATATCATATCCAAACCACCAGCTGT